TAACAAGCCAATCCTCCAGGTGATTCTGATGCATGCTAAGGTTTGCAAACCACGGGACTACATGTTAAGGCCCCTTATCTTGTGGCCCCTCGTTGAATTTGGTCAGTGCGGAGCACCAATAGAAGATCTGAGGGAGGGAGGGGAGTGAGGTCTGGATACTTATTTTCTCAGCTCCCTCCCTGGGAGGTCACCACTAGCTGGCTGTGTTCCTCTAACTGAATCCACAGCTCCTGTCAGGAGGCCTCTGTCCACTTCTACCCTTTGCAGGTCATAGTGACCTCTCCTCCCCTTGGGGTTCTTGCTGTTGCTAGCCTCACACGGTACTACATTCTCTAAAATCTGCCCACACTTTTGAAAATAGTCCTTTTAATAAACTCTTCTCAATTACCCTGTTTTAATGTTTGAGTATGCCTGGGCCATGACTGATAAAGTTCCTAAGCCAACGTTTTGTGATGTTCATTCAAGTGACTCACTTTGCTTTGGTGAATACCCTCTCTTCCCTTTCTTACTTCATAGGGCAGTTAAGAGGACTAAAAGAGTTAATGTGCTTATCACAGTACCTGGCTCACAGACATTCAATATATAGTAGTTATTATTTGTGGAGGTACTATAGACTGAATGTTTGTGTCCCCACAAAATTCATATTGAAACCTAATCCCCAATGTGAGGGTTTTTGGAGGTGGGTTCTTTGGGAGGTGATTAGGTCATAAGGGTGGAACCCTCCTGATGGTATGAGTGCTCTTATAAAAATGACTCCAGAGAGCTCCCTTGACCCTTCTACTGTGTGAGGATACAGCAAAAATATAGCCATCTATGAACCTGAAGCAAGTCCTTACCAGACACTCAATCTGCCAGCCTGATCTTGCACTTCCCACCCTCCAGAACCATGAGAAATAAATTTTTGTTGTTTATAAGCCACCCAGTCTAGGGTATCTTGTTATAGCAGTCCGAACTGACTAAGACAAGAGGTGTTATAGTGTCTTTTCTGTATGCAGTCATTAGATACCAAAATGTTAATATCTTCAGCGCCATTGCCTTCTCTCACCTGTTCCACCTCTGCCCCTTGGCTTCCTAGTACTAAAGTTGATTTCAATATTGATTGATTTCATATGGAGGAATGATCAGAATCATAAAAGGGTTGAATAGTTTGGGGATTACTGATTAGCTAAACATTAAAACCCAATTTAAATCATCTGACCCAAAATATCATTAAACTCAATAATTAAATAATGATGATTATCTAATTTATATAATATATAGAAATGTTTTAATTTGCTTTTCATAAATGGCTCTTTTTCTTCTTCCTTAATGGCACTACTATGAACTTTGCATTGGTATTAAGACATCATAAAATGATGTGTGTGATCATCTGAATAGGTAAAAAATTTAGCAAAAGAGGGCTGGCCCGTGGTGTAGCGGTTAAGTGCACGCACTCTGCTGCTGGCGGCCCGGGTTCGGATCCTGGCGCGCACTGATGCACTGCTTGTCAGGCATGCTGTGGCGGTGTCCAATATAAAGTGGAGGAAGATGGGCACAAATGTTAGCCCAGGGCCAGTCTTCCTCAGCAAAAAGAGGAGGATTGGCATGGATATTAGCTCAGAGCTGATCTTCCTCACACACACAAAAAAAAATTTAGCAAAAGAGTATGAATAGATCTTAACAGTGACTTTTGTCTCAATGTGTGTGTGACCTGTGCAGTAACAGAAGGCCCTGCACTCAAAAGGGCTTGTGCTTGGTTTAATGCTCTATTGTGAGATTTTTAAGCATTTTTGAACAAGGGCTCCACATTTTCATTTTGCACTGGATTTGGTAAATTATAGAGCTGGTTCTTGCTCTGCTGTATTCATATTTGTTCAAGATATCCAAGTAAGTATGAGCACTATCAAAAACAGGGTCTGATTGTTAGTATTAATATACCTATTAGTAATTGCTTTATTCATATTGGTTTCTGGATGAAAGACGCTAAATTCCAGCTCTCACAGTATTAAACAAATATGTCCTTCTCAAAGACTGGAAAATAGTATCACTATTTCTAATCTAATGCAACAGATAAGGAAACAAATGGGGTCCAGTACACAGAGGCTTCAAGATGATGTTGACAACACGGGGAGGCTAACTTCAGGCTCCAACAGGAAGTGGTGTTCTGTTTCATCAGGCAACCAAACTGTGAAGACTGACTCAAAGCCAGAGACACAAAGGAAACATGTTTTTCTTTGGAAAGTTTCTCTTTGAGAAACAAGAGATATCCTTTGTAGCTCAACAACAGGTAAATATCATCTAAACATTAACAAAAAGTCAGAGACTGTCTTCCCTGAATAAGCTAAAATTATTGCTGGAAACAGAAATATCTTGGGTTTGAGGAGAAACTTTTTCTACAGAGTTGACACTTGGCTATGAACTTAGAAGTAATTTCTGGTTAAAGATTTATTTCCTGGAGGAATAAATGTCTAATATCTCACATAAAGGTGACTCAGAATGTCACTATTTCAATTTTTGGCATCCAATGCACAAATCTTAGAAAAAGCTACATGTGCCAATTAACAGTCTTTTCCCAATGGTGAAGAAACAGTCTATTCAATTATGGTTTGCACTGCAGGCTCTGTCAGTGTCTTTACTCTGACCGGTCCTGGTGGGACATGGCATAGTATACAATTAGAACCATTCAAATAATTTTCCCCACTGTATATTCATAATACACGGAACCTTGCCATGGCAAGTCAAGCAATCTCACTACCCAAAGCAGCTGTAGGCTACAGAAATGTCTGGGCTTGCAGAGACAGATATTTTAGAAGCTTACAATGTGTGGGTAGAGTTGTGAGGCCTCTCATGATGGTGCTCAGTTACAACATCTAGAATTAAATGCTGAAAGATTTACCTTTCAGTGCTTTCTTAAACCCAGAATTTTTCTCCTTGTACTCCTTGACTGGACTCCACTACAGGAAATTTATAACATTCAAACTTAGTATCTGTTTTCTTATTGGGTAAACCACCCAACAAGTGTTTTGAAGAAAAAAAAATCAGAGTAAATGAATGATATACCATTCCTTCCTCATAAATCACAAAGTGAACCCTTTGAGTGATGCCCTTTGAGAACACAGAGACTGAGATGAAATGGGCTCAGGGCATCCCCTAAACAGAAGATTTCTTGTCATTTACTAGACTTGAAAAGGTCTTGCTGGAGGCAGCTACCAATGTGCCTTAGGAGAAATTCCTATCTACTCTATAGAATTTATTAATATCCAAATTCCTTGTTGTTCTGGCACAAGGGACTTTGAGAAAATTAACAAAACCACTATATCTATATCTATATCTATATCTATGTCTATGTCTATGTCTATGTCTATGTCTATGTCTATATCTATATCTATCTATATCTATCTATATATATAGGAAAAGACAGTTTTCCAACATGGACATCAGGTAGTGAAGCCCATTGATCCCTGACAGAAAGGAAACAAACACGGAAAGCCCGCAGAAGGGAAGAAGGCCATGTGCAGATGGAGGCAGAGATTGGAGTGATGCATCTGCAAGTGAAGAAATGCTAAGGATTACTGGCAACCGCCAGAATCTAGGAGAGAGACAGGGGACAGTTTCTCCCTTAGAGTCCAAAGGGAACCAACCATGCCAACACCTTGACTTTGGACTTCTGGCCTCCTGAACTGTCAGAGAATAAATTTTTGGGGTTTTTTTTTGGTGAGGAAGATTGGCCCTGAGCTAACATCTGTGCCAGTCTTCCTCTGTTTTGTATGTGGGACGCCAGCACAGCATGGCTGACGAGTGATGTGTAGGTCCACACCCGGGATCCAAAGAACCCATGAACCCCGAGCCGCCAAAGCAGAACATGTGAACTTAACCATTACGCCACTGGGCTGGCCCTGAATTTTTGTTGTTGTAAGCCCCAATTTATGGTAATTTCTTAGGGCAGCCCTAGGAAACTAATACACACAGGTAGAAAAAAGTCTGAAAAAGAAAATCAACAGTGCATCAGTGAACTGTGGGAAACTTCAAGTTGCCTAATATATGTGTACTTAGAATCTCCAAAAGAAAGGAGTGAGAAGGAGGAATAAAAAAATTCTTTGAAGGAATAATAGTTGAGAACAGTAAACCTAGAGATCCAAGAAGCTCAACAAAGGCTAAGCACAAAAATTATGAAGAATGCACACCATAATAAAACAGTGATAAAGAGAAAATATTAAGAAGCAGTGATAAGGAGAAAATATTAAACCAGTAATAAAGAAAAAATATTAAAAGCATCCAGTAAAAAACAGGACACATGTCTAGAAGAATAAAGGTGTTCTTTATTGACATGAAGAATGTCAATGACGTTTTTTCTCCTTGTGACAATGACACAACACTTCTTGTTGAAATGATGAGAGACTTCTGGTTGGAAAAAATGCAAGCCTAAACATAGTGGAGCAGCATTTGCAGTGCTGGAAAAACTGTCAACTTATAATTCTATACCAAATGAAATTGTTTTTCAGAAATGAAGGCAAAATACATTTCAGACACACAAAACCTGAAATAATTCATCACTAACAAACCTACATTATAAGAAATTTGTTAAAGAGGAAAATGAAACCAGATGGAAATCTGGATCTCCACAAAGGAGTGAAGAACACTAGAAATCTGACTAAATATAGAAGACACTTTTTCTTATTTTAAAAATCTCTTTTGGGCCGGCCCTGTGGCTTGGTGGTTAAGTGCGCGCGCTGCAATGCTGGTGGCCCGGGTTCGGATCCCGGGTGCGCATTGAGGCACCACTTCTCTGTCCATCCTGAGGCCGAGTCCCACATACAGCAACTAGAAGGATGTGCAGCTGTGACATACAACTATCTACTGGGGCTTTGGGGGGAAAAATAAAATAAATAAAATCTTTAAAAAAAAAATAAAAATCTCTTTAAAAGAAACTGACTGTTTAAAGCAAACATGATAACAACATATTGTGGGATTTATAACATATGCAGAAATAAAATGTATGAAAACAATAGCACAATGACTAGGAGGGGAGAAGTGGAAGTATACTGTTTTAAGAGTCTTGTATTATATATAAAGTGATATAATAGTACTTGATGGTAGGCTGTGATAAGTAAATCCTAAAATAACCACATACACACACACAAACTTACACATATACACAAATTGGAACAGAGAATTATAACTAATATGACATCAAGGAGATAAAAGGAAATCATAAAAATCAATCCAAAAATTGTAAAAGAAGAAAAAGAGTACAAAGAGCAAATGGGCCAAATAGAAATAAAACAAGATGGTAAAATTAAACCTAGCCATATTAATAGTCGCATTAAATCTAAGTGGTCTACAAGAAGCCTACTTTAGACATAGAGACACAAAAAGGTTAAAAATGAAAAAATAGAAAAAGATATACCTTACTAACACTAATCAAAAGTAAGATATTGTGGCTAGTAGATCTCAAAGAATATTGCTAGGGATAAAGAAGGTCATTTCATAATGATAAAGAGGTCAATTACCAAGGGAACACAGCAATCCTAAATGTTTATATGCCTAGCAACAGACTTGAAAACACATGAAGCAAAAACTGATAGAACTGAAAGGAAAAATAAAGTCCATAATTTTAGCCAGAGATTTCAGCACTCTCTCCATAATGATAGAACAAGTAGAAAAAAATCAGTAAGGATATACAAGACTTGAAAATTGAAGCAGAGAGAATATTTTCCAATTCTATGAGGACAGCACTATTCAGATACCAAAACCACGCAAAGACATTACAAGAAAACTACAGATCGGGCCGGCCCCGTGGCATAGCGGTTAAGCACGCGTGCTCCACTGCTGGCGGCCTGGGTTCGGATCCCGGGCGTGCACTGATGCACCGCTTGTCAGGTCATGCTGTGGCGGTGTCCCATGCAAAGTGGAGGAAGATGGGCACAGATGTTAGCTCAGGGCCAGTCTTCCTCAGCAAAAAGAGGAGGATTGGCATGGATATTAACTCAGGGCTGATCTTCCTTACAAAAAATAAATAAATAAATAAACAAATAAATAAAACAAAACAAAAAACTACAGATCAGCATCCCTCATAGACATAGAATCAACAATTCTTAAAATTTTAGCAAATTGAATCCAACAGTGCATAAAAAGGATAATTAGTGACCAAGTTCCAGGAGTACAAAGTTGGTTTAAAATTTGAGGATTCATGGATACACTGTCCATTTTCCTAACTCAGATATAGCACACACCAATTTTCCTAGGTTATTTCTTCTAGAATCACTGTGTCCTTCTAAAAATCTGACTAAATCTGAAAAATTGTTTTTCTTGGGGTAGAACAGAAGTCCTTTCTAAAGATATTCTGACTTTAATCAGGCAAATCTTCTGGATTTGCTTTTTAAAAATACAAAACAAAAATAAAAAGAGGCATAGCAGGATTCAATTGAATTCTTACATGTTACTATTTTTAAATTTCTGCTGCATTAGTTTTCTATTACTTTGTAAAAAATTACCACCAACTTATTGGCTTAAAAAAGCGCACATTTATTATCTCACAGTTTCCATGGTCAGGAGTCTGGGCATGGCTTAGCTGGGTCCTCTGCTCAGGGTCTCACCAAGCTGTAATGAAAGTGTTGGCTGGGCTGCATTTTTATCTGGAGGATTGTCTGGGGAAGAATCTGCTGCTATGCTCACTCAATTTGTTGGCTGGATTAATTTCTTTGTGACTGTAGGACTGAGGGCCTCAGCTTTCTGCAGGCTGTCAGTTGGAGGACACCTTCAGCTCCTAGTGGCTACTTGCAGGCCCTCAAGGCTTCCCACAGTTCCTAGCCATGCGGCCTTTCCCAACATAGCTGTATATTTCATAAAGCCAGTAAGGACAGTCTCTAGAGTGAGTCTACTAGCAAGCAGAGTAGAGTGGTATAAACATAATGTAATCTGAGGAGTGACAGGGTATCCCATTATCTTTGTTATATTGTATTGGTTAGAAACCCACACTCAGGGGCCGGCCCCGTGGCTTAGCGGTTAAGTAGCGGTTAAGTGCGCGCACTCCGCTGCTGGCGGCCCGGGTTCGGATCCCTGGCGCGCACCAACACACTGCTTCTCCGGCCATACTGAGGCCGTGTCCCACATACAGCAACTAGAAGGATGTGCAGCTATGACATACAGCTATCTACTGGGGCTTTGAGGGAAAAAAATAAATAAATAAAATTATAAAAAAAAAAAAAGAAACCCACACTCAAGGGGAAGGGATTAGATAAATCATGAACACCAGGAGAGGGGATCATGTGGAGTCAATTCACAGTCTGCCTGCACATTAGCCTAAAGGACTTCAGGCATTAACAGACTCTTTAAAACAAAAGTGAAGCAGTAATAAAATAACAATAATTATCTCTGAAGTTAATAGAGAGATATAGGAATTTGGACTGAATGATAAATTTGTTAGGTTCAGTTTTGTTTAGAGATCATTTTTTAAAAAAACAAACTATTGATTTGATTATCATTGCATCTTAATTTATTGAGTATTCAGACTTTTATTATGCTGTAATTATGATTTCCTATGTAAACTCATCTTTCCAATCTGACTGTAAGTTCTCAAAGGCAGATAGCATTTTTGACTTTATTGGTATTTACAATATCTTTTAGCTTGTTAATGAGAGCATGTAGGAATTCAGTACAGTTCATTTGAATGTTTAGAAACATACACTGAATCAGTTTATTGCACATTTAAAAACAAAAGTGCTAAAAATAAAACCCCACCAAAAGTGCTTTGGCTTCATCTATTGGTGGATAAAACTTTAACTGATTGAGTTCAGCTCAGTTGGAGTTTAGAAAAATAGTGTAAGTTGCTTGATTTACTATTCCTTTTTTAAAAACCTTTTTTATTTGGAAAAAATTTAAATATATACAAAGTAAACTCTAGTATAAGGGTTTATGTTTAAAAATTTTAAGTTTTAGAAAATTTACTTATTTTATGAATTAGAGAAGTTCAAGATTATTGCTATTAAAATGTAACTATTATTTATCTGTATTCTCGTATGGCTTTTTTTTTTTTTGAAAGGAGAGAAAATTGTTGTGTTACAGAAGTTGCGCTTGAGTTATGGCTCATCCTACTTGTGCTAAAACCTATGGTGAATAGTCATATTAATTTACTTAAACTTTTTTTTCATAATGGAAAATTTCAAACATGCAAAAGTGGAGGAAAATAGTATCATGAACCCTCATGTACCCATCACTGAGCTTCAGTAATCATTAACACATGGACAATCTTATTTCATTATACCCTCAACAACTTCTCCCAACCTTATACTGCATTGAAGCCAATCCTAGGCATTATATCATTTCATTTACAAATACTATAGTATGTATCTCTAAAATATGTTTATCGTTATTACACTTAAAAATTAATAGAAAATTTTTAATATTATCAAGTATTCAATTGGTGTTCAATTTCTCCAATTATTTCATTTTTTTTTAAACAATTGCTTTGAGTTAGATTTAAAATGAGGTCCACGCATTGTACTTAGCTGGTATGGTTCTTAGATCTATAGATCCCTTCCTCTTTTTTGTTTGTTATGTTTTGGAATAGAATTCCTATCTTGAAGGTGGTTAGAGACCTTGGAAAGTTACCTAATCCATTCCCTCACTTTCACGTCGAGCAAGATCACACCTAAACTATCTTGGTCAGAGAGGTACTGTCTGAGAAAGTTTCCATTCTGATGAAATCAACTCTCTTGGGGTCTCTTCTACATTGAGATATCTGAGGCTGTGGAGATACTTTGCAAAAGGGAGCCATCAAAATGAATTTCATGTGCACAATGGACTAACTGCTGGAAAGATCTCTTACTTCCTTCATTTCCAATAGCTAGAATTCACTTTGGCCACTAAACTGACAAGAGGTTTTCTTTGTTAGATTTGAGAGGTTACTATGAAAGTACAAAGAACTCTTCTCAATGAAAGAATTTGTCTGGGGACGATGTGTCCCTTCTGTGGGTCTCTGAAATTCTTACCTTAGAGAAATTCAGTTAAACAGTGTTTATATGCTACTTTATATTATCAAAGAGTAATTGATGTTTTCCTTAGAATCCTGGCCAAATTCCAACTCTGATAAATACATTCTACTTCCCAAAATTTCCCCTGCAATTTCAAATGGATTCTGTATTCTTAATTACCTGTCCCAACCTGTTACTTGTGTTGAAGATCACCTATTTAGCAGCTGCTGCTTTTGGCCCCAGAGGCTTGTACCTTTTGGGATTAGAAGAAGGGATCCTGGTAATCTTGGTAAACAAGTATGAGTGTATGCAAGTATGAATGACTTTGAGGGTTCTAGAACTGAAACTTATCCTCTAATATGAAAAAATTGGAAACTTCCAGAGGGGGGGAGAGAGAGAGAAAAAAAAAAAACTATACAGTCATTCCATAAATATGGGACCTTCCATTTGCTCAGTAAACTTTTATTAAGAAATTTGTATGTGTGAGACATTGTTCTAGGTATTCTGGGGGATACAAAGATGAAGCAGATAATAGTTCTTGCCTTAAAGGAATATATAGTATAGTAGGGTGGATGTTTTCACAATATTAGGCAGAGCTAATTACCCTTTTTAAAAAGTCTTCGTTTTATAGTGGATAAAAACTTGAGCAAGTTTCATACTTCTTTAATCCAAGGTTTTCTCATCTGTAAAATGGACATAAATATCTGCCTCAGGGTGTTCTGGGAAAATTTTGTGATGTAAAGCACTTAGGATATTACCTGGCACATGGTAAGTGCTCAGTGAACATTAGTAACTGAATTTCTAAATATGCCACTTGGGTCAGCTGCTAGGGAATGTTAATGCCACTGAAGACTGTACTGGGTTATTCACATAGATTCAGATATCTTGACTCTCTAGGATACAGAACCATTGATGGACAGCTTACTCATCTGATAAACGCCAAGATTAGAGGAGAATTCCACACCCAAGTGCCTAGCAGGCTCCAAGTCTTTCATTTGTAGTTTACTGGTAAAAAGCATAAAGGGAGGAGAAGGAATTGAGATCCTCCTGTTCTCTCCCCA